GGAGAGAGAAAGAGAGAGAAAGAGAGAGAAAGAGAAAGAGAAAGAGAGAGAAAGAGAAAGAGAGAGAAAGAGAGAGAAAGAGAAAGGAAGGAAGTAGGGAAGGAAACACACATATGCATTCAAATGTAAGGGGTGCAATCTCCCATTCATTAATATCTCAGCAGTGTAGTATTTGGGGATTAAATGCTCCAGGGGGAAAAAAAAAAAACAGCTACAGCTTTGAAGAGAAATTTGAGCAGGAAATCCATGCATGATGTCTAATGTCCTACCCAGTTTGGTCCCCAGGGGGCAGCCCCATGCCTTTAAATCACCTAAAGGTCCTATGAGGGGCCAAAGCATCTTCTCAAAGTGCTTGAGATGACAGGTAGAGTTCTGTCTCCTTCCTGTTTCATCCTAACTCCTCCTGGCAAGGTAGGCTGATAAATGGTATCAGGGTTGCTAGGCGAACTACGTACTGAAGCAAGGCTTTGAACTATGCATGTTCTCCTGACTCCAGTGTGCGTTCTGCTATGTTTGTAAGCTTAAACCAAATTCACAACTTGCCCATATCTCATTCAGAACTCTCCCTGTGACTCTTTTGTTAAACCATATTGGCTTATCACAGCCCTTATCTGTGAAGCCTTCCAGTGCAGGAAGGCATGGCTGTCCCCAGAAGTCCCCTTGTTGTAGTTTTTGTTGTTGCACCATTTGCAAAACTGAGGCTGAAACCATGCACTATTCAGTCAAAGGTTTTGATCTTGCCCGTGCACATCTTGTCTCCCCCACACACAGTCAAGGTTGAGGATGCAGCATTCCACAAAGCCACTGCCCTTATAGTAACTGTGATAAGAGATTCCTTTGCTTGCGGTTCAGGGAAGGGATGCCAGAGGGATTCCTCTGCAAAATGCCACCCATCCTTTGGCCTGAAATCTCAAAGGATAGAGGCGGGTAGATCATGAGTCATTTGTTCTGTCTAATGGGTAAGTGGCAGATCTTGGGGGAAAGGGATGAAATGAGCAATTTACATTAGGAAATCAGAACGACACCCCAAAAGAGTTAGGCACACACATTGCATACATGTTTCACAGGGGCTTCTAAGAAAAATGTAAAGTGGCACAAGATTTCTCCAGGCTTTGCCTCAACTGGGCCATGACCAAGTCGATTACTCCAGCATTATCATGAAGGACAATTATCTATGGTCTACCTTGGATTTGTTCAATAAATAAAATCATAAGTCAGTGTTAACATGCATACTTCATACAGCCAGAAGATCCTAGCTTCTAGTCCCAGCACCACTGCTGAAAGGATCCAGGTAACCCATAATGGGGGACTCCCAAGAGCATTGCCAAGCTGAGATTACTGCCTTCAACCAATTGCTGTTAGATCATTTCAAATATTGAAAACCTCACACACGCCTTTACTTTAAAACATTCGTACAGTTTCCAAAGCAGGTTCTGTAGAGTCTTGGAGTGAAAGTGGGAGAGAGCAAATGCCAGAATAACTTTTGTTGAATTAAGATTGAAACCCTGCATCTTATGGTTGACATTCCTAAAGGAGCTAATGTTACTAAAACTGTACTTACACAGTCTGCTTAGTTGGTTACTGAATGAATATAATCTAATATAAAGATCTAAGCAAAGTTGACATTAAGCAAGTTTAGTATGCTGTGCGAATGCAACCACTTGATGGTTAAGCAATCTGGTTCAGACTGGGTGGAAACACCCTAAGAAAGCCCTCTCTCTCACTTGCCCCAACTTCACAGGGTTACTGTGAGGATTACAGCGTTGTGGGAAAAAACCTAGTGCACTTCCCTGTGCTGCTTAGTAGAATGGTGGGATTTAAAAAGGATTTAATACACACGCGCACACACAGTGCATTTGGAAAGTATTCAGACCC